TACTACTACTACAACTACAACTACTCGTAGAAATAGTGGGAGTCGTAGTGTCGCGGTAAGTGATGTTGTCAGTGCTGCTGGGAAAGACAACACGAGCTGCGGAGTTTGAGTGTTTGTCGTCACCGTCTTATTAGCAGTGCCTCAGGCCCGAAGCCTAAAGCCCTAAACCACGAAAAAACAAAAGCCCAAAATCTTAAAGGCCCGAAGCCTTAATTATTGGAGCCTCTCGCCCCAAACACTGGTACCAAGTGGCGTCCCACCCATGATGTACGCCTCACCAGGAGGATCACACTTCGCGCATGTTGATGTTGTTCGGCTTAGGGTTGAAAGGGCTTGAGGTCTTGCATTCAGGCTAGACCCCACTGCGGAACTAGGCAGTGTTGTGACCATAGCTCGCCATACAGGGGCTAGGAAAGCTGGGGCCCTAAGCTAAAGCCTCAACTTCCCTAAACCCTACAAGCTTTACACCCTGAACGGTAGGCTTTGGATTGGGTTACGGAAAAGTTCGGCAGGCAGTAGCCCAAATCAACCCGTCTTCTCGAGTGATGGATTGTGGCTCCAAAGATGTGAGTCTTCGGGTGTAGTTAGGGCTCAATAAAGGGAGCCTAAGAATTAGAATGGGGCCTTGGGGTATCATGGCATAGCTATGATAACGAATCCTAAGCAATAATATTGGTCAGTGTTTCAGCTTCTATATTAGGGTGTCTGGCCTTCTGGGGCTGAGCGGTTTGGAGTTTACGGCTTCCGGTCTTTAGGGTGTTCGGGTTTGGTGTTCTGTGGGCTCTGCTACAGCAAAACAGTTAAAAAGTTACCGTCATGACTCCTATGATGTACCGGTTGCAGTCTCTCCAACTCTAAATCCTACACTCCCTAGCCCACGAACCGAAGCCCTGAGCCCCCCTAGCACCAAAGACCTAAACTCTAGCCCCAAGCCTCTGAAGCAGCGGCCCTAAATACTATGAGTAGAACCCTTGCCGACTCGATCACAACCCTTTAAACAACTTAAAGCCCACTAAGCCCCGAGGACGGGGCCCAGGGGCCTTTCTGAGGAACTTCACCAAGGCTGAGACATCCACGACCATGGCTTCAGAAGACAGCCGGATGATTCCGGCGTCGGTATTTGAGGCTGTCGGATCCCAGGAATTCGGCGCTTGTTGTGTTGATTGTTTAGGGCTTAGGGTTTGGACCTTTAGATCTTAGGGAGCCGAGGGCGTGTGTCTTTGGCGTGTGCGGAGAGGGTAGTCTAGCGCTTGGGTTTCGGGGTGGTGGAGGCTTAGGGTTTGGGGCTTAAGGAGCTAGGGGCTTAGAGACTTGAGGGTTTGGAGACGGAACGCATCTGGTACTGCGGGCCGTGATCTCTTACAGCCAGCGCGTCCACGACGCCTTGGGCACAGCCGCGGCATGGAGGAGGCTGAAGCGGGTGAAAGGTGCGTTTCGGATCTAAGGCTTCGGGTCAGGGGGGGGGGGGGGGGGGGGTGGACTTTCTAAATTAGAGTGATGTTTATAGTGAGCAAATACAGGCTCTGGGATATGGGCCTTTCAATGGTATGGGCTTTAGAGTCTGGGGTGCGGGCTTAAAGTTTCAGACACAGGCGTTAAACTTCAGCCGATGCTCCAAACTCTGCAAGAAAGCATGTTCTGATCCCACCACTTCAGGGTATAGCCATTATAGCCTTTAGGCCTCCCTAAACCCTAAACCCTANNCCCTCAACCCTAGACCCTAAACCCGAGACCCTAAAGCCTAAATCCTAAACCCTAGACCCTAAACCCAAAGCCCTAAACCCTAAAACTTCAGAGTCCGGGCTTTAGGGTTGGGGCAGGAGGCTCCAGGGTTTTCGTCGCGTGAGACTCGCTGGATGTTGGGGGGGTTGAAAAAGGGGCTTTAGGCTTTGGGGGTTTAATATCCCGCAATTAAGGAATAGGGTTTAGGGTTGGGGTTTAGGGTTATAGGGTTTAGGGTTTGGGGCTTAGGACTTTTGGTGCATCACTTGCCATCCACCAGGACCGCTAGTATGGAAGCGCAACATAATCAGGGGCTTTGGGGCTTATAGAGTGTTAGGGTTGGGCTTAGACTCAAGCTGTATGCAGGGGGGATCCCAGGGAATACCAGCTCTAAATACTCCGGCCGCCATGTTCATCCTCGGGCTGCCTCTTGATCCTATGGCCCGTGGTACATGGTCATGAGCTATATTGAGCTATGAAGATGGTCTCTCTGTGGACATGCCGGCCAAGGGACTATAAGTTTATGAGAACTCGGGATGTGTTGTCAGAGCCAAGGTCTTCCAACAGTTCAACTACGTCGTCCACATAGGTTTTGAGAAACTTCCTCGTATGTATCACGAAACGGATTCTGAGTTGAAGCATTTTCCCTCTAGATTTCAGGACCCTGGGTCTAAGCAGGATGCTTTAAGACCTAACGCCTGAAGCCTAGGCCTCTGCAGTTGAACCCTAAACCCTAAACCCTAAACCCTAAACCCTAAACCGGGATCTTTTACTATGGGGCTTGGGGCCGGGCTTCCGGCTCGAGGGACTTCGGATTCGGGTTTGGAGCAGCAATAATATAGGCGCCTTAATTTTGGGGGTCCTTTATAGTAGAATTATAATTCTAAGGAGCCCTCCCCCCCAAAAAAAAACAAATAGTATAGGTAATTTTTGAGGCCCCTACATTACGTGGTTTCCGGGTTTGAGGCTGGAGTGGTCTAGGGGCTGAGGGGCTCTGGGTCGACATGGTATCTGACTGGTCATAAGATTGCAGCGCCTTTGCTCTGCGTGTGATCAGTGTGTAGTTAGCAGAGCCGGTGGCGCGGATCACCTGCAGGGCAAGTGCTTCATAACCACATGAGACCTCGTGCTTTGTTACGTCTTTTTGCACCCCGAACTCTTGTACAAGTAGAGAACCTGGAAATACTGGAATAATTCGCAGGTCACAGCCGATGATTTGTATGCCGAATTGTGACCTGACAGAAACTCTTTGCCTGTTGCAGGATCCAGAAAGAAAGACTTGGTGAAGAACTGGGGTCAAAGGACGTAGACTTAACCCTGGATCCTCGGCCCCTAAGCTCTGAACCTCGCTTTGCACCCTAAACCCTAAGCCTATGCCCCAAAAAGCCTCGAAGCCCTGAAACCCCAAACAATCTGAGCCCTGAAACCTTATGTAAAGTCGTTCACCTCTGCACGCCGAGCCCTAAACCCTCTAAGCCCTGAGCCCTAAACCCTATACAACCCTAAATCCAACCTCTGAAGCCCTAAACCCTAAACCCTAAACCCTAAACCCTAAACCCTAAAACCCTAAACCGTGGCTACCCCCGAAGCATCCAGCCTTGATCTGCCGATCGTACTCCGACTCGATGACGGAGGTCACAGCCCGAATTTGCGCCGACTCCTCACCGGGCTACTTAGAGGTCATGTAGGGTTTAGGGTTTAGGGTTTAGGGTTTAGGGCCTTTAGGTATAGGCGGGGTATGAGAAATGTAACTATAGTATTATTAGGGGTACCCCTTAAAGGGTACCCCTTCTGAACCCTACTTTTGGCTCTCTTAGAAGGGACCTTGTTGAGAGGGTCTATATCCCCAAGGGTCCCCCTAATCCTAGCTTTAGAGGTCATGGGTAGGTATAGGCGGGGTATAAGAAAATGTAACTATAAATATCACACATTACGACCCATATTAGGGGAATTATAGCTACTTAGACGTTCATGGGTAGTTATAAGTGGGGCTGTAAGAAAAGCATAACTACCCATGAAAACTCCAAGTAGAGCAGGTTGTGAGGGGGTCCAGGGTTTGGATTTAAAAGATTGTACCTGTTACCCTTAAGGATTTAACGTAGCATACAGGTTTTGTGATTTTTCGGTTCAGGGTTTCGGATTCAGGGGCTTAGTTGAGGAGCCTAGGCCAAATGCCCGACTGCATTTCGCTTCCTTGATCCCAGCAATCGGAACATCCAGAAGTGGGCTAGGTTAGCCCATTATAGAGCCTCTGAAAAATAGTCGTAGGTAAGATCCTCTTAAGGCCAATAATAGAAAACAATAACATGAAATGTCCCAAAGGCCCACATAGTGGGAAAGCAACACAACACCCGTGTATGCCCAAACCCCTGAGCTGACCTCTGAGGCTTCGAAGAGCTCGATCCCCTACGACTCGCAAACCCTGGCAAACCCTCAACTTTCGAACCCCACGGCCTAAATGCCAAAACTGCGGAAGCAAGTATGAAGTAGGGACCCTTATCCACTTATGCTACCATACTGCAACATTCTCGCACTCTACACCATCATCCATCACACAAAGCCTAAACCCGTACTGTAACCTCACATACCCACAACCCCATCGGTGCAACCACATCTTTTCAGGGAGCGTAGGTCAATTCTCACGGCTCTTGGAGCCGTCCTTTGGAGCTGTCCAGTAGTATTGTACCGTCTGAGACAAGAAGTGGCGGCTCGGGTCTCAATAGTGGCCAAAGAGGCACCGGTCAAAGGCCTGGCGACACGAGATAGGGGTGGTTAGATAAAAAACCTGGGACTTTAGATGCCTTCAAAAATCTGTTCATAGAACTTATGATGCAAACGGGATACTTCTGCTTTACTGCATCCGAAATACAGAAGCCGTGCGACGACTTGGCTTTTCAGGATATCTTCATCATCTCCATCATCTGCAGGTAGGTCTCTTTCTCTCTCCTTGCATTGCTTTGCTTGGGGCTTGGGCCAAGGGCAGTCAGTCCCTCTCTTGCCCTCTCTTTTCTCTCAGCCCTAAATCCTGAACCGTATAGCTCTCTCCGTCTTAGCCTACCCAAACCCTAAACCCTAAACCCTAAACCCTAAACCCTAAACCCTAAACCCGCAATAACGAGGCATGTGTTGGCCCCTGGTCCTTGCTGAAAGCCCTTGGCCCCAGATATCCCTTCCTGCTTTCCTAAACGAGCCTGCTTCATCCTTACCTTTGGTTAGTAGGGAATGGAAGAATGGTAGTAATAGTAGTTATAATTGTACCCATTCCTCCATTCCGTACTAACCACAGGTAAGCATCAGGGGTTGTGGTTGCTACAGGGTTTCGTCGGACGGTTTTGCAGGTGGGCTTTGTTTTGTCGGATGAGATCATACCATGGGGATTTCAGAGATTGCGGTGGTCTGCGTTAGGGGTTCCTGCTATGAGGCATCCCGGCATTTTGTCCCGCGCCCGATGCATCCACGCACAAAGCCAGCCATGACTCAAGAGAGTAGCTGCAGGCCTCATTACGAAAATATCCACATATTGTTGTACATCAGGTTTCAGCCTAATGTAAGGGCCTTAATAATTAGAATAGGGTTTTGGGGACACATTATACTGTAGTTATAATAAGGAACCCCCTACAACAGTATAGGTAATGATTAAGGCCCCTGCATTACCTTATCTACTTCAGTGGGAGTGCACCACTCTGAGCATAAGAATCCCCAACCCACAGGAGGGGACCGAGGTTCGGAACAACCCTCGTCAGGGTTGGGGTTTAGGGTTTAGGGTTTAGGGTTTAGGGTTTAGGGTTTAGGGTTTAGAGTTACACAAACTCAGATGGGAGCTAGGATTAGGGAGACCCATGGGGATATAGACCCTCTCAATAAGGTCCCTTCTAAGAGAGCCAAAAGTAGGGTTCAGAAGGGGTACCCTTTAAGGGGCACCTCCAAAAATACTACCGATTAGATGGTAGGAGGGAATTGGGGGCGTGAAGGGACGAGATTTGTGGTGGATGTCACAGGGCCATTTCCGAAATCTACAGGAGTGTTTGCACCTTACACAACCGAACCCAGCCGCAATCCTCTTTATTTCAACGTGTACGAGACAGCGTCGCATTGCAACTCGGGGTGATAGGCCTTGCTTATCCTTAACGGTTTGCCGTTTGGGGTTTAGGTCTTGGGTTTAGGGTAGGCTAGGTGAGAGTTGAGGCTTTACAACTTGCAGTCCTTTGTGTTTAGGTTTGTTTGGGCTTGAGGAAAGGAACAGCATCGAGGGCTGCACTTTCGCTCACAAGACACCTCTAAGCAGGGACTTAAACAGAAACATCTTGGGTACCAAGCTTTCGCCGCCTAATGTAGGGGCCTTCTTCATTACCAAAACAGGTTCTATTATAACCTGACATACCCCACAACCCTTAATAATTAGAACCATAATTATTCAGGCCCCTATATTAAGAACCCTAACCCAGCCTTGGAAGTATGGAGATCAATGCAATCGCGGGGAAAGGGTCCAGTCTTCCAGCAAGGCTCTAAGAAGAAAGGCTACGTGTACGAGTGGGAAAACCGTGTCCTTGGAGGCACATGGAGGCTCTGTATGCAAGGAGCGAAGCTGCATCAAAACCCACATCGGAAGGCAACAACTCTGCTTGACACCACGCTGGCGAAAAAGAGGCCGAGGTTGCCTATGAGCAACAGCTATTACTTTAAAGTATGTTATAGTATATAATAGTCAGAGTATTCTAGCATACTCTAGTCTATTATCTTTTTGTGTGTGCATTGTTCCGAGCCTGCTTTATTGGGCTTAGGGTAGCGGATGCTTGCTGGGGACAGGCACCCTCCCGAATTGAGAGTGCCAAGAACGAGGGTTTAGGGTGATGGTTCTGTGCTCTTGGAGTTTCCACATTGGCACCTCGACCTCGCCCATGCACTATGGACAGACACTGAATTAATACTGGAACAGGGAGTGGGCCATGGAATGAGACCAGATTCTCCCCGGCTTCCGCAACACATCAACACAACCGCTTCAACGGACATTCCCTAAAATGCAGCTAGCTGAAGAACCATGCCGAGCAGGTCGTTATTTTGTTAGCCAAAAAACAATGTTCGAATGTAAAGGCTACGTGTAGCGGTAGCAATGAACAAGCCCCTCAGCACCCGCGACAACTGTTTTTCGGGGATCGGGAACCTTCGCCCTCACCCCTGAACCTCCACCCCCTAAACCCGAAACCCTTATAAACCCGGAACCCCCCAAGCCCTAAACCCTAAACCCTCATAAACCCTTATAAACCCTGAACCCTGACCCCTAAACCCTCATAAACCCTGAACCCCCAAGCCCTAAACCCCTAAACCCTCAAAAAAACCCTTATATACCCTAAACCCTCCAAATTTCAGAAGCTCAGGAGCTCGATTTGTTTTTCAATAGCCTTTCGAAGGGCCTAGGGTTCAGGGGTAGGGGTATACTAGGGTTAGGGCTTAGGGTTTAAGGTCCAGGGGTCAGGCATTTCCCTGGCTTTCACTCCCCGGGGGGCTGCGTAAAGGGTAGATGCAAGAGGGCTATAAGTTATATATATATATATATATAGGCGCCTTAATAATCAGAATAGGGTTTTGGAGTATATCATACTATGATTATAACAAGGAACCCCCAACACAGTATAGGTATTTAATAGAGCCCCTGTAGTACCTCCCTTGGCCGTAGATCGTTGAAGAATGTTATTACTACCCATCAAGAGGATGGCAATTTGCCCGCTTGGGGTTTGTGTATATATATATATATCTCACAGATAGGGTGTGGATCTTGGGGGGGGGTGACCATATATATATATATATATATATATGTGTGTGTGTGTGTATACACACGTAAAAACCTACCAAATATTTTGTTCAGCAAACGCCTATGGCTCATTCGGCAAAGGTGTGAGACATCCGCGCCGGAGAGGCATGGACTGCGCCTGGGGAGGGGCATAGGGTTTGTATGTTGAGGCAAGTTTTTTTTTGTTTGCAGACCCTTTTCGGGTTAGGGTTTGGGGTTTTTATCTTGAGGCGGGCGGCTTCTGCTGTTGCGAACTGACGGCTTCAAACCGCTTGCAGCTGGGCGTGGCAGGTCCATGAGGTCGACACCAATCTCTTCATTGCCCGCAATTCCAACCCCGTATACCGTATACCCTGTCTATCTACCTATCTATCTACCTGTCTATCTATTTATCTATCTGCTTATCTATCTATCTATCTATAAACGTATATATCTTTGTACACCCTAAGCCCTCTAAGCCATAAATCCGCAACTCCCCTCCCCTCCCAAGGACGTCGGAGGGACGCGGCGGACCAACGGCCGCAGCGCGGTGCCACAGAGCTCGAGGCCTGGCATTGCTTTCGCAGGGTTCGGGGTATAATGGGTTTCAGGGTTTAGGGTTTAGGGTTCAGGGTTCAGGGTTTAGGTAGGGGCCTTAATAAATTAGAATAGGGGTCCTTTGAAGGGTTCTGAAAAGGGTCTATAAGGGTTTTTATAAGGGCTGCTATAAGGGTTTAGAAAAGGGGCCTTAATGATTAGGCTACGGTTTTGGGGTATATTATACCATTTTTCTAAGGAAGACCCCCCAAAATGGTATAGGTAATTATTAAGGCCCCCATATTATGGCGAATTAGGGCATAATATAGGGGCCTCAATAATGACCAATACTATTGTGGGGGTTCCTTCATTATTATGATTATAGTATAGTATAGTATACCCCCAAAGAAGATTAAGGATTCCTATGACCCCTATATTAGGTTTAGGGCTTGGGGTTGAGGGTTTATAGGGTTTAGGGAAAGGGTTGAGGCTAGGGGTTCTGGAAGTAATGTCTTGCACAAGCATGTTAAGTGCTTTACTCCAGGTTTCTGGGCTTCAGGGCGTGTGGGGCTTTGGTTGGGGTCCAAACCCTGCAGTGTCGTTGCGTGTCTGTTTCTGGCCTACGTGGCCCCTAAGCCCTAAACCCTAAAACCGAAGCCCAAAAATCCTAAACCCTAAACGCTGAAATCCTAGACCCTAAAACCCTAAAATCCTAAACCCTAAACCCTAAAACCGGAACCCTAAACCCTAAAACCGGAACCCTAAAACCCTTAACCCTAAACCCAGTCGCGTTCCCCATTTAGGGATCCAGGGGATTAGGGCGATTTTGGTTTAAGGAAAATTCAGGATACAGGGTTTACGGTTAGGGCTCCGTTGGTGGGGTTGTTCCAAGTCGTTTGTTGTTGTTAAGTTCTTTGCTGATAAATGTGTCACCATATCCAGGGAATATGCAAACAGCTGAAAAATCAGGCCCCGAACCCTGAACCTTCGAACGGTTTTGGGCACCTAGGGGCCGTCTAGTTGGACACTTGAACCCCTTCGGGCACCCTAAACCCCGATAGACAACCCACATAATCCTTGAGGAACCCCTCATACGTCATCACAGCTCCTAGACCCTAAACCCCTAAACCCTAAACCCTAAACCCCTAAACCTCTACTATAATCCTTGGAAGCTTCCTGCTTTTGGCAATTTGGAACCCTAACCCTAAACCTTAAACTTTGGGTACTGCCCCCACTCAGTAACAGTTGGATAAGATTTATATTATGGATATATTTGGCCCCTAATAGTAGCCTTATTATAGACTGTTACTGTATGGGGGCGGTACCCAACTTAAACTCGAAGCCACGGAGCCGACAACTGAACCCTAAAACTCGCAAACTCTAGCCGGGCCCTTGTTTAGGGTTTGGGGTTTAGGGTTTAAGGTTTAGGGTTGAAGGTTTTGGGGTTTGGGTTTGAGGTTTCTGGTTTAAAGTTAAGGGTGTAAGGTTTGGGGTTTAGGGTTTAGGGCCTTTGTCCCTAATCCCTAAACCCCGAAGGTACCCTGATAAAACCCCTAAGGAGGCCTCGACCTTAAGGACCGAATGACCCTTAAAAGTCAAGGCCCTGTCCCCCTTTTAGTATGGATCCCTGTATGGTATAGTATGAACCTTGCACCCCTGTAAGGTTCATTTCGTCCCTTCATAAATGGGCACTTCCTTGTCACAGTTGGGCCGGAGAGGTCTCCTGCACGAGCACCCAGAGCTGCAACTTCAAGGACAGGGTATAGGTTGGGAGGTTTCGGGGTAGGGCTTGGGGCTACAAGAGCTTTTTAAAGATGGCTTTATAGGGCATAGGGCGTTCAGAGGGTTCTAGAGGGAGTTATGGGATGTTATAGGGTTTCATAGGTTTTAGAGTTTAGGATTCGGGTTTCAGGGTTCATAGGTTAGGGCATTGATAAAGGCTATTGTTTGATTCCATGTGGGTCTTGGCTTTCAGAGAATTCGGTAAATCGGGCAGGAGGTGAGCACTGAGTATCTGCCAGTCAATCACAAAAAGCCGACATGCACGGACGGGAGGTTTGCCATAAACCCTTAACCGTAGCAGCATGCTATATAGCTCCCAGGCGGGGAACCTTACCCCAACCCCCCCCCCCCCCACTGCCGCCTGCTGGATTGCAATCCAGCACCGAGGCACTTAGCTCGTAGCCTCCCAGAGAAAAAGGCCTGCTAACACTTTCTATAGGGGGGATACTTGCCCAAAGCATATAATAGCAATTCCTATTGTAGAAACCCTACATTCTACTATACAGGCACAAACCATAATAGCAGTTCCCAGCATAGAAACCCTACATTCTACTGTGAAGGCACAAACAAAAATAGCAACTCCTATTATAGAATTCCTACATTCTACTACAAAGGCACTGAAGATAGTGTCTTCAAGGTACATCTTATGGGACTCAACACCCACGAGGATCCTCGCGGACGAATGTAGGGGCCTTAATGATTTGAATAGGGCTTACAGTAGCCCTTATAGAACCCTCCAACGCAACCCCCAAACCCTATTCAATGTATTCAATGATAATCAAGCCCTTTATTAGCTCAGTTATCGGGTCCTGCCCGATGGTCATCTGCGCAGATGATGACAAGGCAATAGTCGGAAGGCAAAGCACTTCGAGAATGGGGCATCCCTAGACCGCGCCCACTAAACGGCACCAAACAACATGGTTTAACGACATGCAGCCAACAGCAACCGACACGCCAGGCTCCCAACCCTAAATAAACCCTTAACCGTCAACCCTAACCCCTAAACCCTACGGCCTAAGCCCGCAACCTGAAGCCGGCATCCAGTCAGGATATCTTGACCAGGCGTGGGTAGATCTCTTCTTCCGCCACGCGGAGAGATGAGTAAATGCCCGTAGGGATGTGGGTTTAGGGTTTAGAGCTTCGGGTTTAGAGTTTCTTTGGGTTGCTTGAAAGCTTTTCACAAGAGGGATCTATAAGCATCCCGCCTAAACCCTAAACCCTATAAGCGCTAGAAGCCCCAAGCCCCATAGGAGGGTCTGACAGTGCAGTTAGACTTTGGGTTGCAGTTTTGAGGCTTAGTTTCTAGTCGAGGGCTTTCGTTGTTGTTCGGTGTCTCTGGTGGCAGGCTGAAGTAGTCGGGTAGGCCCGGAAACTCAAGAAAGGGGTTGCGTCACGTGCCAAGTTGTAGAGTCTTCTTCTGCCCAAAGTATGCTTAATGTGGTTTCCCAAGTCAAAGGATTCTTGGTGCATCTGCGTCCCTGAAAGTTTATTATGTACCCTAAACCCTAAACCCTATGCCCCTCCATTTTCAAGCTGGGACGGAGGAGGATGTTCAGGGTTCAAGCCTAATCCCTAAGGGTCCATGTACCCGTATAGTATATACTCTAGCCCTAAAGTACCTAGATAGGGACTACTGCAAGGGCGGGGGCCCTTAAATCCTAAACGATATAGAGCCTATAGAACCCTTATGGTGCTCTTAAAGGAACCCTCAAAGGACAACTCATGTAGGAACCCTTGCAAAACCGAAGCCCTGTGTACCGACAGCAGAGGCTACGCCAGTCACCACGCCCGTGGCGGCCTCGTCCGGTGGCGGAAGGTTGAAGCAGGACGGGACCCTAAACCCTAAACCCCAAGTCCTAAACCCTAAACCCAACTTAAAAAGCAAAAACCCTAAGCCCTAAACCCGAAACCCCAAGTCCTAGGCCCCTAAACCCCTAAACCCCTAAACCCGAAGCCCTAAACCCCAAACTCTAAGTCCTAAACCTCTGAACCCCCACCTGCTCTTAGGGGCGTTCCGACACTGCGGACGGAAAAAGGGTGCTTAAAAAAGACCCCTCTAAACCCTTGAACCCTAAACCCTAAACTTTGGGGTTTAGGGTTTGCTTCTGTGAGGCTTCCATAGGGCTTTTTGCAGGATGACAGTCATTATCCCAAATCGGAGACGTCGCGCAAAAAAGCTGTTGAGGCTAAAGGGATTTAGGGTTGTATAGGGTTTAGGGCTTTAGGAGTTTAGGGTTTAGGCCTTCCCCCCCCTTGCTTCCTTCTCGCTTTTCGAGGCCCTTGAGACATGTTGGACCCGGCGTCCGGTGGGTCGGTTGAGCTGTGATTTAGGGTTTAGGGCTTAGGGTTTAAAGTTTAGGGCTTAGGGTTTAGGGTTTAGAGCTTTGGGTTTAGGGCTTTGGGTTTAGGGCTTTGGGTTTAGGGTTTAGGGCTCTGGGTTTAGGGTTTCGGGCTTTGGGTTTAGGGTTTAGGGCGTTGGGTTTAGGGTTTAAGGGTTTAGGCTTTAGGGCACCCGTTCCAGCCAGGCAGTATCATGAAGCCGTCCACAGAGATCATCCCGTTATTGTAGCGGCAAGACGTGCAGCTGGACATTCTTGGCAATGGCGATGATACGGAGGAGGATGAGAACAGTGCCGATGGATGACAATGATGACGGCGTTGAGAACGAGGTTTGTGACAACCTAAACCCTGAAGGCTGCGTGTGTGTTATCCACTCAAGGACCTCTAAACACCAGCAAGGCTTGATCACATATCTATATATATATATATATATGGGTTTATTTATTATGTGTATACTATATGTATGTGTGTATATATATATATCCACATATTACATATGTATGTATGTATGTATATGTATATGTATATATATAATTTAAAGCCGCTGCTATTGAAAGCGTATGCAACCCGACAGTGCCCTTGTAGAACCCAGTGAAACCGAGCACGATTGTCGTTGAAGGACCTCGGAACCTGTCTGCATTCGATGCCTCGCTCCCAGCACTGATGACGACAAATTTTGCTAGCCAGTCTAAGTTTTGGGGTTTGGGGTTTAGGGTTTAGGATTTAGGGTCTAAGTTTTGGGGTTTGGGGTTTAGGGTATGTCTCAGTGGTTCGTCATGTGATGTGTTTGTTTCTGTATTTTGCGGTTACGGGGTTAGGGTTTTCGACGAAGGGTTTAGAATGGATCATTGTTACTGTTTGAGGTTTGGGTGGTCCAATGTTTAAACAGGGAGCCCATCCAAAGAGTACTTGTCTCTGTCCTTCCCAAGGCTTCCAGTACCTGCAACCCTGAACACTAAATTAAGCTGGAACGCGGGAATCTGTAATTGGGCTTAGGGTTTGGAGTCGCAAAGGACCCCTGAGCTACATTGGAAAAGAGCCAAAGACGGGTAGCTGGGAGGTTCAGGAAGGGAAGAAGGATCTAGGGTGTCATGGAGAGATCTGAGCAACAACTGGTGCTATTCCTTCGGTCTTCCGAAACGCCATGAAGACTAGTGAAATATACCACAAGCTGAATAACAGTGACCGTAACCTTAGCCCCCTGCTGTTCCAATATAGAGTGATACGATAGTATACCCTCCAAAAAACAAACACAACTCTATTCTGCCTTTCAAGGCCCCTATGCGTTGTACTGGACTCTGAACAATAGATCCGAGAACCCTAAACCCTAAACCCTGAGATCTTGGGACCTTAAGTCACTCTCAGGGTTGAGGGGTTATAACGCTCAGGATTTGGGGTGAGGGAAATGCCTCGGTTTTAGGGTTTAGGCGTTCAGGCCCTACCCCTAAACACTAAACCCGAAACCCTAAACCCTAACCCCCCAAACCCTAACACCCTAAACCGGGTTTGTAATATAGCACAGGTCTGCCCTCCTCCGGAGGGTGCCGAGGATCCGGGAGAGGCACGCACTTCGTGGTTTAGGGGTGGTGTTTAGGGTTTAGGCCTTAGGATGTTGAGCTTAAGGTTTAGGGTTCCGACCCCTTTCCGTCGCAAAGCGCATCTCGAATTGGGGTTGTCGTGGAGGAACTTAGCTGATGCCAAAAGGGAGTTTAGGGCTTAATAGCAGAAACCATAAAGTTGGAACATGATATAATCCTCATGAACTTACGGAGAAGCACAAGAGATCCTAGCACCAGTCATCCTAAACCCATGTTCCAACTTCCTGGAGTACCCTAAACCCTAAAACCTAAACCCTAAACCCTAAAAACGCTGAGGGTTTTGGCAGGTGAAGGCCCTTCCTTTGTCGCAGTTGCCCGGCTCTGGCAGTCTCGATTTGAATGCAGCTGGGCCGAAGCACGCGGTTTGGTCTTACAAGGCTGCAGTTTTCATATACGAGGGTGTTTGAAAGAGTTTTGGAAGGCGGGTGTAAAGGTTTCATGCTTTCTTGGGGGGTTTGAGAACCCTAACCCTAAACCCGGAGCCCTACTTGCGAATTCTTTACACTGCAGAAGAACCGCAGCCTCTAAGGGTTCCTACCCGAAGGTCCTATGTACTGTTATGGGGGGGATAGTAACTCCTAACATTGAAACCCTACATTCTACTATAGTAAATAGGACACTTTGGGCTAAACCGTAATGCCCTAAAACCCTGAACCCTAAACCCTAAACCCTAAACCCTAAACCCTAAACCCCACACCCTAAACCCTAAACCTCCTTTTAAGGGATCTACGAAGGTTGGAAGGCTGAAGGCCTTCCCGGTCCTCCAGTGTCCAGTCCCCCAGTTGTGGTTCTTTACCCTTGTGTTTTGTGGCTTGAACATCATATAAGGGCCTAAATAATTACCAATACGTACTATTTTTGGGGGCCCCTTATAATCATAGTATTATATACCTCAGAACTCTATTCTAATTCTTAAGGCCCCTGTATTACTCTTCTATTTTGTGGTTTGAAAGTAGCTGGCCAAAGTTTGCCTCATTGTATAAATAAGTGAGAAGCCGTCTAGCCACAACCTCGGACGGTGTGAACCTTCAACACTACATTACATTTTTGCAACTTCAGGATTTCCAGCCGTTATATGCCTCACATGTCCGGAAACCTATGTTAAGAGACCCAAAACACATAGACCCCGTTCGCCCGCGTAAGCCCGACACCTAAACCCAGACATTTCCAGACCTTACAACCTGAACCCAAACCCCGCTGAACCCACGAAGCCCGAAACCCTAAACCCTTAAACCGTCACAGAAGCTCTAACAGGCCCCATGAAAAAATAATCCAGCAGAGGGTTTACGGTTTAGGAGTTTAGAGTTTAGGGCTTAGGACCCTGCTGAAGTCATACGTTACAACCGTTGCAACGCCCTCAACAGGATCCCGGTTTCGATTGTTTCAAAGCAAAGTGACAAGAAGCTCAGCCCCAACCCCTTAAGCCACGAGGTTTGCATGGCCCTAAGCGCTAGACCCTAAAAGGCCCTATGTAAACCCTAAAGCCCTAAACCCTATAAACTCTAGAGAACCCTAAACTCTAAGCCCTAAACCCTATAAACCCTAGAGAACCCTAAACTCTAAGCCCTAAACCCTATAAACCCTAGAGAACCCTAAACTCTAAGCCCTCAGCCCTAAGCCACGAGGTTTGCATGCTCGACCCCGGCAGCAACTTTCTCGTAGCCTTTGGGGCGCTGAGCCTTTGCCGGAGAGTTCTCTGGGTCGACAGTGCAAGCTTCAGCGCGGAAATTTCGTATGTTTAACATCTATATATATATATATACATGTAGATGCATATGTACATATTATAAATATAGACATCGACATACATTGCACATAGAGTGTATGTCGATTTGAGTATGTATATACACATAAGTATAAGCGCAAATATGAACATAAACATATATATATATATACACACATACATATGTATGTGTGTGTAGATATACGTACAATCCATAGCCAATGACTCTTTCCGGTTGGCGTTTAGGAGTCTGGGGTTCGATGCATAGTTGTTTAAGTTGTACCGTGCGTGTCTTCGTGTTACCGAGCCCGAACCCTAAACCATGAAGCCTAATCCTAAGACACTAATCCCCAAACCATGAACCATGAACCCTAATCCAAAAGGCGTATGTTGCCTGGGTTTGAAGGAGTCCAGGATGGGAAGATGGGGGTCGAGGGTGCTGTTTTCTTGAGGGCTTGGTGTGATTTCAGAGGTGTTGTGCAACCGAAACTGTTTTTAGGCTTTTCGGGGTCAGTAACTATTTATGGTTTGTTTGCAAAAGAACCTTGATAGCACATCGGAAGCGCCTTCCAGTCAATCCCTACTACACATGTTTTGCTACACCGGTTTCCTAAACCCTAAACCCTAAACCCTAAGCCCTGAGGCTTGGGGCGTTGCGGTGGAAGCTTGGGCTCTAGCTCTATCGGTTCATATGGGTAGTTTTCTAAATTCGGGTCCCTTTTTTGAGGTCCCCAGTATAGTACGGTACCCTTATAAAAAAAGGCTCCTAAAAGGGACCCTGATTTAGAGAACTACCCATATGAAGCATGGTTGCTGGTTTGGGCTGTCAGGAACCTTAACGACATCCCGGCTTAGTTGCGAGGATCACTAGTTACTAGTTGTTAGAATCCTCTGACACCTCGCAAAGCCCACGCCCAGTGTGTATGTGTAACGATATACATGTTTTCTATTTTTCCCTGCGGACATAAGCCCTAAGCCATTGACAGCAACCGGCCAGAACCTACTTGCTTGATTGAAGTAGTTTCAATGCGAGCCCAATGATGAGTTAGAGGCACCCTACAACGAACTATGTTTGGCTAGCCTGAAGTAAGCGCCATATTCGCAAAATTTACACCTGAAGCCCCCAAGGACGTGTCAAGTGTAATCTTTTAGAGCTATTCAATCACCATACAGTGCCCAATGAAAGTCTTATTCCAACCCCCTTCAACAAAGTCGCATAGAGCCCTTTCACTGACCCTCATGGTAAAAGCCCTTACAGTATCATGACACCTATAGTAAACCCTAAACCCCTAAACCCTAAAACCCTCATGGCTATAAAACTCGCACCGCTTCGAGGAACACCTGCAGCGACGAGGTCCTCGAATTCTGCCACGCCGGCTTGGCCGTACCAAAAGCCCGGGGCATCCGTGTGCTTCTCGGCTGGTTTAGAGTTTCGGGTTGGGGATCCCCGGAAGGTTTAGGTTAACGGGTTTAGGGCTTGAGGGGTTTGGTATAGGGTTTGCGGGGTCTCCTTTGCGAGTGTAGGAACGAGGCTTTCGGTAAGTATGAATGTGAGTACTGTTTTCTCGTTTTCTTCTCCTGTGGTGGCTCGGGCGATTTCGAGTACTAGCGAGTGGGGCGACAAGTCCTAAATACGGGAAGTGCAGCTATTACTTGTATCCGCAATCCAGATGCTTATGGCCTTAGATTGCTATCCGTGGACTTTCAAGTGTACCCGATACTTCTGAGAAGAAAGCCCGGCACCCCAAACACGTCACTCCATAAACCCTAAACCCTAAACCCTATAAACCCTAAACCGTAAGCTCAAGAACCGGAATCCTTCGTTGCACCCTCAAAGCCCAGAGACCTCGCCCAAAGGCGGATCCAGGTACTGATAAAGCAGGGCTTTTTGCTGAAAATTCGCGTTCAGAGTAGAGCATTTGGTCCAAAGCCTTCGGTACTTGGATCCTGTGGGTAATAATCATGCTTGCCCTAAATACAGGTTGCTTGGAACCTGAACCCTATAACCCGACAAAAAGTTAAAGCACCGAAATCATATATACATGTAGTCTAGGACAATTTCAGGTGGGTAGTTACCGTTATAGGAGCCTTATAGAAGGTCCATATACCTTATGGAAGCCTTATAGAAGCCCTATATACCCTAAACTCACCACCTGTAGTTTCCTTTAATATAGAGCATCCTTACACCTGTAAACAGTCTTTGCAGATCCCTTCGAAAGAACCCTCTACAGACCTACATCGCCTATATAGCCTAATCCCCGGACCCTAGAACCCCTGAGCCCTAAACCCAAGCCCAATAAACCGTGAAGCCCTTATGCAACAGCCCGAAGCCTTCTGACCTTGAAAAAGGTGCCCGAAACCCCCTCAAGTATCCTTATCCTATAGATCCTCGTAGATCCCTTATGGCACCCTTATAGATCCTAATAGTACCCCTATATATCCCTTTCAGCCATCCTGACAAGAACCTCAAACCCTGAACCCTAACCCTACGGTCCTAAACCCTAGGCTCCTGAACCCTAAACCCTAAACCCTAAACCCTAAACCCTAGGTTCCTAAACCCTAAAGTTCCTCTTCCTCTACAGCAAACCCAAACCCCCAAAACCCTGAAGCCTTGAAGCCCAAAGCCCTAAACCCTACACCAAACAAAACTCAAACCCTGAGCCAAACAGCCCTAAACCCTAAATCCTAAGCTCCCTAGGAAGAAACCCTAAAAAGCCTAAGCCCTAAACCCAAACTCCCTTGACCCTAAACCCCAAACTCCTAAACCCTATAAGCCTTTAACCATAAACCCTGAACCCTAGGATCCTTCCTCAAACTCCTAAAATGTTAACCCTATAAGGCTTGAGCCAAACCCTAAACCCTAAGTTCCAAAACCCCATAAGCCCCCTAAACCCACAGTTTAGGGTTTAGGATTTAGGGTGTAGGGTTTTGGGCCCTAAACCCTAAATTCCTTAAGAGGAAGCCGGTCTCAGCGAGGCTGCACTGGCCGGGCGGGACCTGGAAACCTTGGAATCGACGAGCCGCTGTGCATTGCATTGTTTGTGTTTGTTGTGTTTAAGGGTTTGGGGGTTTAGGATTTAGTGTGTAGGGTTTAGGGTTGAACTTGCACCTGTCTTTTTCGGTTGAACTTGTAAGTGTTTTGGGGTTTAGGGTTGAGTTTTGAGGGTTGGGAGGCTTTATGTTAAACTTGTGAGTGTTTTTTGGGTTTAGAGTCTTCGGGTTTAGGACTTAGGGTTGCTTAACTTTCCTGGACCCTATAGAAGCTTCATTTTTTTGGGGGATGTTTATTATGTTTCTTTCATAGAAGTCCCTAAGCCCTAAACCCTAAACCCTGTAGGCTCTTTGGGGTTAAGCTTTTACTTGGTTTGTGGGTTTAGGGCCTCAGGGTTAAGGGCTTTAGGGTTCAGGGGATTAGGGTTTAGGGTTGAGGAACAAGTTGTGGGATTTTGATCCAGAGTTTAGGGCATTGACTTTTTTGTGATCCGGGTTAAGGCTTGCAACAGGATTTTGAATTTTCGTTGGGGTGACTTGGGCATATGTGTTTTGTACTTCTTGATTTGATGCAGAAGTTTCTTTGGCGACGTGCAGAATCATGTATTCTTACTCATCCCGGAACCGAAAACCCTGAAGCCAAGCCTCCTACAGCCCTAAACCCTTAAACCCTAATCCCTGAAGCCTTAAACCCTGAAGCCCTAAACCCTATAATTAGAAATCCTAGCGAACCCTAAACCCTAAACCCTGAACCCACCCAAAAAAACAACAAAAAACAAAGAACAACACCACTCAGCCCAAAGGCATCCGTGACCCGATCCGTGGCCGATGAGCTTTGGTGGAGCATCGACGATCTCCCAAGAAGCAAAACAGCGACAACGTCTGGGGGTTTAGGGTTTAGGGGGTTTAGGGAGTTTAGGGCTTTAGGGTTTTGCAGTCAATAATACTGTTTATATCCACCTGGGGCTTGCATGTCAGGGAGACATGTTCTTTTACACACCAGACCTAAACCCACACCTTAAACTTTAAACCCTGAACCTAAGCAATAAACCCTGAACCTTAAACGTCTAAGCCCTTAGCCCTAATCTCTGAAGCTCAAACGGTGGGTTCTTCGTTGCTGCACAGACCTGGCCAAACAAGTTCGGTTCGCCATCGTTGCTTGACCGTGGCACATCTTAAGCCCAAAGCCTTAGACCCGAAAGCATCAGCCCCTTTGACGATACATCAGTTGAGCCCTCGCCGCTGCTTCAAGAAGTCATAGCAAAAACATGCAGTCATCACCAAAGCCTGCCGTGCACCATCTCTAAACCCTGAAAAGCCACCCAAGCCCTTAACCTAACACCCCTTGAACCCGAAAATCCCAACTCCAACCTCTGATTGGAAGATCTTTTGCCTTTCGGTCGCGTGTCTTCTGCAGCCATGGGTTGCTGCCAGGGATCGAGCGCTTCGCAGGTGGAGGCACAGAACCCTAAACCCTAAACCCTAAACCCTAAACCCTAAACCCTAAACTAAACTTTTGCTTGTGCTTGAGTTGGGAAGCCCTTTGGGCTGACAGCTTTCCTAAGCGGTGGCCCGGAAAAGCCTAGGCCAAACACCAAACACTCACCGTTCACTCGCCTTTTGGATTAGGGTTTCCTAGCCGTGAGCCCCGAAACCTAAACCCTAAACCCTAAACCGCACCCCTAATCCCTAAACCCGGATTCCGAATCCCTGAGAGGCTCTATGGGTGCTGAGATTTGCTCGGATGCGAGGGTGCAGCTAAAGCTGTCTCTGGTAGGCTTTCACTGCCTTGCAGGTGTTCCTGATCCTAAGCTTAGAAACCCGAATTAAGCCCTAAACCTAAACCCGAAATCCCCTCAACCTTGATTTAACCCTAAGCCCAGAGGCCCTAAACCCTAAACCTTAAGCCCTAAACTGAACAAAGGGGGCTTTGGACTCCCTCAGCCCAGTTCCTGCCCGAAGGCCGCCGGGGCGCCCTTGAAGGCGTCGAAGACCAAGGCGTTGCTGGCTTTCGGGGTTCGAGGTCTTAGGGTTTAGGGTTTAGGGTTTAGGGTTTAGGGTTTAGGGTCTAGGGGGTTTAGGGTAAAGGGTTTAGGGTTCCTGGTTCGAGGTTTAGGGGTTAGGGTCCTCCAGACCCCCCAAACACCCTCGGCCTTAGAGACCGACTATGAAGGACGATAAGCGCTCCATAAATTAAAAGGCAAGCTTGGGAGGTACTGGCTAGCAGGGAATAGAGGGGGAGAGGCTTCTAGGAAAGAGGGAGAGGGGCGGTGCAAAGGTCGTACATGTCATCCCATGGACGCTGGCAGGGGATGAGATACAATACACCTGGGGCCCAGATGGCTTGGAGACTTTCGATTTGACGGTGGGCGAGCCCGATTTGACCACAGGTGGATCAGTGACGCGACCATGCGCACGAAACAGAGGTCACGTTTCAATCAGGCAGCGGCCGAGTACGCGACTCGGAATGCAGACTCAAGAACCATGACATTTTCAGGCTTTGAGAGAAGCAACTTCAGATACTTACTAGCCAAATACAATATGGCAGTGCCGCTACCACTGAAACGGATCAAGAGCCGGTGGCGCTCGCCACGGCCGAACAGACGAGCTAAAGCCGGTACGAGACTCTTTTGGTCCATGTTAAGGCGGTACGTAGGATGCCGTGAAACAGTTTGTGGACCATCTTATGAGCACCCTAAACCCCGAAACCCTAAACCCCTAAACCCCTAAACCCTAAACCCCCTAAACCCTAAACCCCAAACCCCTAAACCCTAAACCCCCGAACCCCTAAACCCAAAACCCCTATAAAGCCCTTAAACCCTAAACCGCAGGTCTGGTCTGGGTCCTTGGCCGTTTCTCAAAGGTGCAGTCTAACTGCAAGGGAATCCTGAGCCCCAAACTCCAAAGCCCTACGCCGTTTATAGGGGTCCTCATAGTAGCCGGTTTAGGGTTTTGGGTTTAGGGTTTAGGGTTTAGGGTTGCCCTTATAGTTGTTTCCTAGAGCAGTTACCTTAAACCCTAAACCCTATCAAGCCCCCCGTTTTGCCCAAACAGAACTGAGCCACCCTTGCTTTGCAGGCGCCGGTGTCCAAGGATGTCATTGCCAAGAAGGCACTGAGCTCTAAAGCGGTTTAAGGTTTAGGGTTTAGGGGCCCCTGCTGAAGTCGGGTCTTAATCGGGGTTCATGATAGGGTTCTGAGGACTCGAAAGCCTCAAAGCCTAATGAAAGCCTAAGCCCAAGAAACCTCAGGGACTAAAGCTAAAGCCCACAACACGACCTGAATCGCGAAAGGACGAGGGAACTCCGCAATCACAGTTACAAGCAAGATTGCTAGGGCCTTTGGGGTTTTGCACGACTTCAAAGGATTAGTTTTCTTGTTAGTTTAGGGTGCAGGGCTTCAATAGGGTTTGGGGGTTTCAGGTTTCATGAGGGTTGTGCAACAACAGTTTAACAAACTTCCCGAAGGGTCCTCTGACTGTTGTAAAATTGGGCGTTGAGCAGTTTAGGATTTAGGATTATAAAGTAAGCCCCCATACTTCCAAGTCATAATATATAAGTCGTTTTATTCATCAATAAAGCCTGCACCCTGTTCTCAATACACTCGACCGCAGTGTCCAAAAACGCCTGAACCATACGAAACCAACAAATCCCTGAACCCTAAGCCATACCAGCAAAAAACAATATGAGAGCTATGACAATCGAAACACACTTCTAAGTCCTATGACATCCACTGTTAAGCTATCGTAAAACGCCCTAAAACATGAACAACAACTCTATACAACCCTATAAAACCCAAGAAAACCTGCGATGCGCCCGAAAACAATTAGATATAGTATCATAATTCGTGTAAGCCCTGAAAGCCCTTTGAGACAAGACAGGCCCTAAAGCCTAATCTCTGCAACCCCTTGCTCGTAACCTAAAAACCCTAAACCCTATCGTGTTTTTTGTGACAGGTCGCCCAGGCCAAGTCCACACGCGTCCTCGCACTCAGGGAGTCCCTTCCCCAGGTGAGCTGCGAGCGCAGCTTCATTCAAAACGTGTTTAGGGTTCAGGGTTTAGGGTTTAGGGTGACTGAAGTTGTAAAAAGGGTGTTTTACAAGATGTTTGTGGGGTTGTGTAGGTTTCCCCGGCGGCGCCCAAAAGGGGCCCTGAGTATAGGCACCAGTATTGATTTGTTGGGGATGAGGGTGAGGGTGCTGGGTTCTTGTTAAGGAGTTTATTTAAGTTGCTATAATAAGGAAGCCAGGTTATTTACTATAGGTCCCTAGTAACTCGAGTTTAATTGAATTGGTTTACCAACACTGAATTAATTACACTCCATCGACTACCCTCCTTGCAGATCAACTAAGCATGAACTAGTGGCCGGCGGCGCCTACACCCGACAGTGCAATCCGACATCTGCAGGGAGTCTTGACCGTCTCTACGTCATTTCCCAAGCTTTGCGCACTGCCATTGAGGAGGCGCACCTTGCATCGCAATTATGTCGGAACCCTAAACCCTAAACCCTAAACCCTAAACCCTAAACCCTAAACCCTCAAGGCTTGAGCTGGTTGCCGAGCGCGCACTTATATACCTTCCTACACCTTGTGGAGGAAGGCCAGACATTGAGCAAGGCTTCAATGTCTCTGGGGGCCCCAGTAGTCTCAGTAGTGCCCTCGTACATGCTGGTTTATCTCTCAATTTGTTGGGGGTCTCTATACCTGACTGAATAGTAGGAGAAAGGGTATCCTTGCTTGGAAGGGTTACAAGGCTACCTGAATTCTATAGATGCACGTGCAGCATTGTGGCTGCGATTCTCGTCGCGCCGATACACGCGGCGTAAGTGGCTCTTTCTGGCAGCTGCGCTGCTTGTCATGTTGGTGGCGTCAGCACAGTTGCGCAGTCTCGCTTCAGTGATAATTACAAGCTGCTAGTAACTAGTAGCAATGTTCGCTTCAGATATTTCGCCAGAAATTGTCATGCGTGGCAACGTTGAAGTTTAATATCGTGCGGTTTGAGTTGTATGTGTTGCGAGCTTTGCAGCTTGG